GTCATTTATTAACCGATTTGGAAAATTCTTTTTTGTTTGAAAGTGTATAGGTACTTCCAGTTTTTTTAATATTATGATAATAAAAAGAGAATATTCTTTGCAAATGAATAATTTATATTGATTATTATTGATAAAAAAAATTTCGTGGCCCCATATTATGTAGATGTTTGCTATTATTACATGATTGTAGCATTGTCATTTTAATTAACACACAAGAAAACAAATGAGTATGTATTTAAAAAGCTTAAATAAATTTCATTTTAAATCTTTCACCAGCGACTCAGTTTGCTTCTAAATACAAAGTTGCATTCCCATTTTCACGCCCTTAAGTGATGATTTTCGGGATAAAAAGTATTCTGTGTCCTTCTCAGGGTCTCAAATTATCTTCTTACCAAATTTCATCTAAATCGGTTTAGTAGATCCAGAGATTACCTCCTACATCGTCACAGACTCACAAACTCAAAACTCACAAACTTTACCACTTTATAATATTAGCATAGATTAAAAAACTTAATTGGGTAATATTGAACTATACATAAAGGCAGTGAAGTACCAATGCTTGGATGTGAATGCAGTTATTACTTTCCCAGCTCTGTTTGTTCACTTCTCGAATGAAATCCTTTTCGATGAAAACAATGAAAATAATACGTATATTTATACCTCTATAGTAAACGTCATACCATTTTTATTTTATCGGCAAATGTCATTTGCAGTGTGGATTAATATCTGTAGATAAGATTGTTGCTTAAAAGCTTATTAATACATAGGTACATATGTACCTACTTAGACTTCTGTTTTCATCGTTTCATATTATGTCTGTAGCCATATGTAGTATTTTTAACCGACTTCAATCAAAAAGGAGGTTCTATGATCGTCAGTATGTGTAGTTTAAGACAAGTATTTTATATGCTATAAACTCTTATTTTTATTACTATTTATAAAGTATATAAGGTTTATCTAATGAATGATCGGCCTGATAATGATAGATATTTCCGTACGGGAAATATCTATCGTTATGAGGAATTACCCTACATGAGGGTAATTTATCAATTTTATGTTTTCTGCAAAAACTTATTAAGTAATAGGTAAGTATATCATCTATTTAAATAATCTAACCTTTTCACTAAGCATTGGCATGTTCATTGCCACGGTCTGCCCTTTATCGGTCCCCTTTTGCCCTTCATAGGCTCAGTAAAAATACATCACCTATGTATATTCATGAAGGTTTCAGGTATTTTGAAATATGAGTAGATTTCTTTGAAAACGATACTTAAAGATATTAAGATATAATAATAACTATTTTTTTTACTTTTAAGTAAACAAATATAGCTACAATATAAATCGATTAAACGATAACAATTTATTTTGTATCTTATCATGTGTTTGATATTGTACTGAAAGTCAAAAAGAAATTAATTCTATGTATAACGAAAACCATAAGCAACATTTGTTTACATGAGCCGGTTAAGATGTACTGTGCTTGGTTTAGTTACATCATCAAAATTGCAGAGCTACTGTTTTTATTTCTGTACTGTTTACCAACTAACCGTTTTACATGCAACCTTTTATATTGGTAGGTCACGTAGCTTCTTGTGCTAGGTTACACTCATTGTGCAATTTACATACGAATATTACGTAAGCTTTGTTTTAATAATTGTAAAAAATTAAATTATAAACATAATATCCCGACTGCGAAGCGAACTAAAAAGATGGGAGCAAGTTGTCGAATCGACATAGTATTATGCACTCGGATACATTTACCTACATACATACATACATGAAAATTCAAAAATTCTTTAGTATCGCAATCCTTTGAAATGAATCCTGCATAGTTCCTTAAGCATTTTGACGTCCATATTATACATCACTTGATTTCCTTAAACGATTTGTTTATAGTTGATGCACAAGCTGGCATATCAAGAGGTTATTCAGACTCGACTCGTGTGAGTCACGTTTGGTAACGCTGAGTTGTATTTACTATACGCAGCGGAAACTACACTATATAATTTTATTGGAAGGCGAGGCCTTTACTCTTGTATAAGGGTACACTTACTAAGAATTAGTCTTAAGACTGTGGGCAAATTATACGCAAGCATACTTCATTAACTGTTACCTAAGATTAATTGTATTGCTGCTATATAAGTTTTAGTGCTTAATTTCCCACTGGAAATCCGTATCAAGTAGTGAACTCCATTGTCTAAAGCTCTTCTCCATGTCGCTTGAGATTTCTCTAATAGATTTGAATGAACACTCGTCTAAAGAGACTTCATTCTATTACATTTGTATGCAACATCTAAAATTTTATGTATTATAGTCAATTTTAAGACGCAATAAATTTCTATTGAATTTATAAAAAAAAACTAGTAGAACCCGCGGCTTCGCTCGCGTTAAAACTACAAAAAAAACTCTAAAAAGATAGTTTCATACAAACTTTCATCCTCTATTTTATCACCTTATAGGATGAATTTCGAAAAATGCTAAAACACGTATTTATTTAATTTTATTATTATACATATAGGCATTAATACCAAGTTTCAAGTAATTCTGATAAAAAATATTTTTTGGATTTTATTATAAAGTGTTCTCCCGTGGGAATTAGGTAAACTCCCGCGGTAAAAAGTAGCCTGTGTCACTCTCCAGCCCTCCAACTCCACACAAAAGATCACGCCAATCCGTCACTCCGTTTCGAAATGAAAGAAGGACAGACAGACAGACAAAGAAACAAACTCTTTCACGTTTATAATATTAGTATGTATGTCTTGGTATACAGAGGTGGTAATGTTATCGCAAAATCAGTAGTAGATATTTACGGCTTAAATTATCGTATAATAGTTATTTGATTTTACGAAGTAATCACTTTAATGACTATGAAAAGATTAATTCTATTGTTTCTTATTTATAGAATTTGATAAAGCAAAACATTGTTGTGTACACAATTTTTTGGTCATAAAGTTTAAAAGTGTATTTACTAAGTCTTCTGCCGGTGTCCCCTATCTTTTAATGTTTGTACTTTGTATTAGACAAGCTGTATTATTTTCCTTGAGTTAATGTTATTTCAGAACAAACTCTAATATAAAACAACAAAATATAATACAAAACTGATCATGTAGATGTTTTATAAAATATACGCAAATTCAAAATGGTTCTTTTTTCATATATCTACCAAATGTTGTACAATCAAATCTAGTATCTACTTCCTTTATCTTGTTAAACTTTTAAAAAGCAAGTAGGTAAACAAGTAAAAAACAAATAATTGGTTTTTATAGTAGATACTAATTTGCTTGCCAGCGTTTTCGCTCGTATGGCAAGAGGGATGGCGATGAAAGCTTATGTTTCCAAAATACAATTAATGCTAAACGTCCTTACCTTTCATCGAAATCTCTTCAGTAGTAGACAGAGTTACTTTCACAGCTACCTACATCTATATATAAAACAAAGTCGGGCTTGTTACAACATTTATAACTCGAGAACTGCTGGACCGATTTTCATGGTTTTTGATTTGTTGTCTCCGCCCCCAATAACAGAATAACTATTAAAATATCGAAAACATTAATGAAAAAAAATCTACTTCATACCTTGGGGCGAACCTGAGCAAAGCGAGGGTGAGTCGCTAGTTCTAGAACATATGTGTGGACATGAAGACATCCAAACAATATAAGATATTGTAATCGTTACATCACATTTGCGGTTACATTTAGTAATGCAATCTCACCACAACAAACCCTCAGTTGAGTCGGTGCCATCGAACTTATTAACCGGTTTTCGTTATCACATCTATATTATGCCTATTGCATTAATTACGATATAATTATGTTAAAGCTTATCTCTTAAAGTTTTACGCGTGTGGTTTCCACCAAAACGTATAGGTACAAATTTTATATAAATTTTTTTAGTCTCTTTAAATTATTACATTTAGATTTGCTTTCTAAAATGTTTTGTTAACATGTTAAAATATATCTGTATTTATTTATGTATAGTTTAAGGTTATTAATTATTAAACTTTATTATCTGATCTTAACGCAAATATGCTCCATCCGTAACGTTATCTACTATAGTACAAATGGTAATTTACTTGTTGCCAAGACCATCAAAACCTTGATGATTCTAACATGCATGAGTACGTTCGTTAGCTTATCATATTATTTATGTATGTTACTTCAAGTGTCTAAATAATACTCTTGTTTAGTTTTAGGGTAAGTCGTTAGGTACTATAATTTCAATTCCGTAACCACCAAAATGTCGTGAAAGGATTTATTTTTCACTAGCATTGCCCGCGGCTCCGCCCGCGTTCAGATGACCAAAAACCAAATTCTTAGGTTTTACATATTAGTATACTCTTACATTGCAGTTTTTGTATTTTTTCTCAGAAATGAGACATTTTCCCTCGGTAAAAAGTATCCTATATGTTGACCAGGATAACCAGCTATCACTATACTAGATTTCATCAAAATCCCTCCAGTAATTTTTCTGTGATGCGGTAACAGACAGACAGATAAAAATTCTAAAAAATATAGATTCGGCCTCTGTATCGATAATAATGTTTATTTCATTAAGATTTTCCAAAAAATATTTAATATACAGATTCGGCTTAGTTACAATTACATTATATGTATAGATTTATTTATATTTTAGCCGTAGCTTTATTTTTATAGAATAACGAGGGTATAAAAATTTTCACCAAAATAAAATGTAACAATGACCTTGCGCGTTTTTTAAATTTATATTAAAAGTTCTTTTTTTTTATTCTCAGATCTGTCAAAAAACCGGTTCAGTGAAGTGCCGGAGGAAGTAACAACTTACGTATATTTAGAAAAGTTATTACTGTCACAAAATATCATCAGAAGTATACCAGATGCAGTTGGAGGTTTACAATCCCTAACATACTTGGATCTAAGGTGAGTTTAAACACCATATTATAGGAATATATTTATTAAAACCATATCTAAGTTATTACATAGCTACCTACTTATTTTACTTATTACATATTCATAAGATGGCTATATTATTTTATGGTCTACTGCCGTATGGTAATTTGCGTTTCGCAAAACTTGCATCAAATCTAATTTAACATTTAAACGCATATCTTCCGGTATTGATTTTAAGTGTGGGAGAAGCGATAGAAGGAACATTTTGTCTGGATCATCATGTTGGTCACTTTTACTCTGAGAGTCTACACTCGCAAACGCAAAGTCATCTATAAACTTGTTGCATACACTTTGTTTCGGTACTCCCTCAGAACCGTCATTAGATGAATCATCGTTATAGTCAACGTCGTTGTCGTCCTCAGAACTTTCTTTGGTTAGTTTCAATTTTTTTCTTGGTCTCCAAGCTTTTTTCTTCACTCGACCATTATCCGATTCGCCAGAAGCCTCGTCTTGTTGTATGTTTTGCTGTTTCAAAAGAAATTGCAATTGTTTGCTGTAAAGATATGGCCGTTTTGTCCTATTAGGGTGTGTTATGTATTTTTGGAAACAGTCCCTTATACTTTTCCATTTTTTCTGGAGTTGAAGTTCTGCAAGTAAATAACATATTAAAGAAAAATAAAAAATAAAATTGGTTAAAACTATACTATTTATATCTAGATTAAGAGTAATTTATTATGTAACTATAGATTAAACATAAAGCTTATCAATTCTATACTTCAATGTTAACTATTTATCTGGTTTGCGTAAACATAATCCATTCAAGTTGCATTGTGCAACTATAGCACAATCGAAATCTAAGCTTACTATGCGAATTCTAACGTTAGCTCATTTTGATAAGATACAATGCAAATAATGCAACACACTATACCAAGTTCCCGCATCTCGCTCTTTGAAACCTTCACATCGCTTGTCATTAGTTCGTTAACGACCTCAGTCCATAACTTGTGCCTTATAGCCTTCGTTCTGTACTCTATATTCTCGAAGTCCCATATACCGGGGCGTTTTTTCACTTCTTCTATAAGACGTTCTGGATCGTATTCGAATTGCATAGTGGCCATTTTGAGTAGGTATTATTAATAGTATCAGTTCGAGCGTGCGAACGCGGGCTGTCTACACAAGCAGCGGTCGCCGAGCGACTGACGCGCGGCGGGGGAACGCGGCGTGCGGTTCAAAATGGCGCCCGTATTGGGTAGGTTAGCCAACGTTATCGGACTGCAGACAGGACATATTAAGTATTACTTGCTGAAAATTATTCAATTATTTGAATTCTCGTTCACAATATAAGTTTTTGCGCGATAAACGTATAGTCTAATAGTTAACTTTTATTATTTATCAGAAGGTAACATGACGTGTTAAAATATGATTTCCATGTCAATATGACATATTATAATTCTCGACTTTTTTTAATAAGTATATGTCAGTTTGTAAAGAGGTTTTAAATATTTTAAATAACAAAGCGTAATAAATAATAATAAAATATTTTACTAAGTTTTTCATTTTAAGCTAACTATGACTGAATTAATATTATATTATTAGTAGCTAACAAACAAAGGTAGCAAGCAAATGCACTTTAAAACAAAATATTGGCTATCCTAGCTGCTCGTCTATCGAACGGTGCGACGCCAGCGTGACCCCGCCGCGGCCGGGGGGAACGCGCGAGTTTGCGGCGGTTAACCGCGCCAAATTTGTTAAACGCCTGTCAAACTCTTCCTCAATAAAAACGCTTACTATCGTAACGTAGTTGTCTATAGTAATGTAGTTACTTTATAATTATCGTTGTAATTTGTGTTTTTTTAAGTTTTTGCTTGTTCTACAGTAAGTTTTTAACATGTATGTATGGGTATAGTAGAATCTTTTTCATCTACTTTCAGACAATCGAAATATTTCATATTCGTAGGTACACTTTTAAGAATCAAAGAAAATTATATTTATTTAATTTAAAAGTAAATAAATCTAGATTTAAAAATGAAAAATAGATTATTAGATATTAGTTTATAGAGCTAAAAATATACCTTTTCTTCCAATGCCTTGCTATAAAAAATTTCTAACAGATACCAAGCACCCGATCGATAATATGTACTAACATATCTTTAGACTTATCTCGTATTGAACTCACCAGTTTTATTACTTTATTATACTGCATTATAGCGATATAGTACGTACATACGCTATATTTAGAGATATACCTACCTACCTAAATTTCGCGAATTATTGATTAAATTGATAACAAAACGATAAGGTTTATCGTATATTTTTAAGTGAACTTTGTTTATATATTTAACTAGGTCACTAAAAGAGTTCATTTGAAAACGTGACACAATTCTTAGTCATCGGACCCATAGTGAGGATGGGCTTCATAAATAATAATAAAACTGACATATTTTTAAGTCGCTCACCATATGACATTGACTCTTTATTCTGGTCTCGTAATAAATATTGATTTAGAACCTTTAATTTTAGTCTACTTTGAATAATTTAAGGCAGTGGTAGCCCAGTGGTAACGCGCTCGCTTGGAAACCCGAATGAAGCGGGTTCAAATTCCGGGTCTCGCACCTTTGATATTTTCATGTGCAAATCATTTCTAACATGATTACCACTTGCCTTACGGTGAACGAAAACATCGTGAGGAAATCTGCATGTCTAAAAGAACCTTGGCCAGAGTGGTGAACTATGGCCTGATCCCCCCCGTATTGAAGGGAGGCCCGTGCCCAGGAGTGGGACGTTAAAAAGCCCTGAATAGATTGAATAATTTTAGATTTTTCACAAATCTATCTACCAATTGACACACTTTTAATTTATCTATATCTTTAAAGTCAGAGTGGGCGTAGAAGCTCAACAATAAAGCTACCATGTTATCTCGCCAGCTGCGTGGCTTTGTGACCCCAATGCATAAGATATTAAATATTTTTTGTCAATAATCAACAAATGATTATAGTTTTCGTTGGACAAATTGAACAAATGTATAAATGGTATAAGGATCAACAATCCCACAGTCTAATCACAACGGTAACCTAAAGCTTGCATTTCAAGTTTCACGGATAAAACAAGACACATTCTACAGTGCATTTTTATGTTATTAAAACTCTTAAGTCTGATTGAGATTATATTATTAATTTTCTATATTGTTGTAAAATTTGTACATGAATTTAGCCCTCTTTTAATGTACCACTGCTAGGCTTGGGTCTTTTTATATTTCTTTCAGTCTTTCAATATTAGGGATCAGGTCCATCCACCACGCTGGCAAAGTGCAGGTTGGCGGACTTCACGTGTCTTTTGAAGACTTATTAGGTTCTCTCAGACATGCTTACGATGTTTTCCTTTACTTTAAAGCAAGTGGTAATCATGTTGAAAATAATACATACATATATTTTTTAACTTAATGGGTTTCTTGCCTATAGCTTACAATTTCCGCTGTTGAAGTCCGTCCGATAGGTACTTGAGGTTTCCGTTTTAAGTGAATTTGATCCTCGATGACTCGTGATTTATTCATTTTTCACTACACGTGCCAGTGCAATGTTTCATAGAATGATAAATATCTGATGACATAGTGTATAGAGGTATAATCAAATCGTTATAAAGCTTTACCAAAACTGGTTTTAATTCTGTTGAACGTGTCTACTCACATGTACCATTTTGTTAGCTTTCTACAGTTACATGAATGTTCACTTAAAAAACCTTCCTATTGAATAAATTTAAATGTTTATAGGTATCTACTCGTTATATTTTAACATGATAAATAATATCTAATTATTTACTTTGCTTTGCTTTAATATCGTGTTTTGGCTTAATAATGAAACAAAAATTAACTCTTTATTTATCGTAATTATGCTGTATATAATTCGAATAAAAAATAAAAAGATACCTACCTATGTAATCCTACATTACATATGACTGTTAAATAATCAGTAAAACTCACAGTTTACACAATTCTAGCAGGTTTTCATAGTTAAGTTTAAAGCTCGCGTTTGTAACAAATATAAAAATAATGTATAGAATTAATGGTGTTTTATAAATAGACAGTCGAGCGATTGTCGACAAGGCGTTGCCCTTTTATACAAAAATAGCGTTGTGTATGGCAAATTTCAAATGATTCCACTTAGGGTTTGTAACAAAATATTATGAGTGTTGTATATTTTGGCATGCAGTTATATAATAACTAGCGAGTCATCCTCGCTTCGCTCGGGTTTTGTTCCTAGCTTAATTCCCCATACAAACTTTCATCCCCATTCCCCCCCCAATTAGGGGATAATTTTCTGACATAAAAAGTATCCTATGTCCTTTCCAGGGTCTGAAACTATCTTCTTACCAAATTTCATCTAAATGGGTTTTGTAGATCCAGAGATTACCCCCTACAACGTCACAAACTCACAAACTTTACCTATTTATAATATTAGTATAGATAATGATACATCAATTACGTACATAAAATAAGATAATATAACTTATTATGCTTATCTTTAAAAGTAATTAGTCAACCCTTATTTTTGTATTTGGATTAACCTTTGATTCATCATCATCATCATCAACATATAATTTATTCATAATAAAAATATAATTTATTCATTAAAATACCATAAAACCTAACCATAAACAAAAATTTGAATCGAGAATAAATACTTCCTCTCTTTTTTAAAGTCAGTCAATAAGTTAAAAATAAGAAAACTTGTTACAATAGATAATAATTTTATATTTAAATGTTTTTTGTTATAGATGTTATTGAGCAGACTGCTATCATTACATTTTTTCTTGTGTCCATTTCCAACTAATCTAATACTTTGTATTTAAAGTTGATACGTTATATAAATACAGCGCACTTGATATACGACCATGAACTTAGCATCAGTCGGTCGAATGTAAGTCTTAAATGAAGTGCTTATCGAAGTGGAAATGTTTTTATTATTGTAATTCTATAGCAAAAGATATTTTAAATACACATATGTAAAAACATTTTTGATGTGTAAAAAATTGAATTATATACTAGTTGTCGTCCAAGTTAACGCAACAAACAGGTTCGATTCCCGTTTTCGACATGTAAGCGTGCGTCGCTATTGTTTCTATACTATATCGTATATTTTTTCAGTAAAAGCTTCAAAAGGACAAAAGCTTCCAATTAATAGTTTTTTTTTATTTACATCTGAACTCTAAAGTACTGTCGACTATGTTACATAACGATTATTAAGAACGTTATGCCACAAATATAAAGGAAGGTGTTGTGTATCGATACGCCCCAATTGGTGCAACATGTTTGTCGCATGCGAAATGTCAGTACCAAAGAGCGCCGAAGAATAATTGGAGGTTTTACGTCAGTTTAGTGGTGTCCTCCTTTACTTGTTATCGTAATTTAACATTAAAACAGAAAGCGTTATAATTCATTTTGTTAAACGCTCAGAGCTGCACGCCCACGTCTTATTACGGACTCTAGTTAATCGATACTTTTCTGATTTATGATTATTATCAGTGTGTTATGCAATTACTTTTTAATTTTTATTTAATAAATATAAGTAGGTATTAATTTATAAAATAAGACAATAATAAATATTTAAGCTAATTTAAAGATATTATAACTTATAAGTCTCTAAACTGTTATTGGAAAAGTTTAGATTTTTACTTAAAGCATATTTCGAATAACTCAAATATAATATGTATTTAAAAAAATAACAATAGTTTTTTTTTTGTAAAATCAGCAGTACATAATTTAATTGCATTATGCAAAATGCTAATAGTTTTACGGTTTGTACGTAGCGAGTAAAACGCCGCACAGACGGTGTTTTATCATTTAACTTGTCACTGTCACCTTTATTTCTGTCCCAAAAAGAGTGCATTGTGATAACAGGGCGGTTTGTAGGTCGGTATAAAGATCAGTGGGCGAGGTGAACGACCGAGATGTCACGGTCCCATGTTATATTATGTAGAGCGCATGGTGTGCTTTGCCATAGCATGGGTATTGTTAATTTTTGTGTCTATTTATTTAGAAAGAAATTGTTTCCAAATACTCAAATTAAATAGTATTTTTTTTTAATAACTTAAATAAACATAGACTTTACTTTTTGTCTATATT